CGCTCTACGGTCCGTCACAAATTTATTTGATGTTAACAGAGCCATAAGCATCTGAAGGAGCCCAGTAATTTACCTAGTAAGACCTAATACTTAATGTCTTTTCAGTCACAGTTACCAGTTCTCACTTGAATATGCAGTAATCAGCGTATTCACTTAGTAGTCTATTATTAAAATTACTAACTCCCTCACACAATGACCTTGAAGCAGCTAGGCAGTGTGGCTGCGGAGATAGGGCATAGTGCACCTGGTGCCGGCAGTCAAGCCGTGATGCACTAGATAGATAGTCTGTCAGGATCTCTGATCCTGCCCCTTTCCCACCGGCGTTGACTGTGCAGCAGGCACATACATACATACATGATTGGCATTCTGTGCACTACACTACACTGCACCGCACCGCAACGTTACTAACTATCGTCATGGTAGGAATGTAGGTAGACAGGGCGACGTTGTGTTGTGGGTTGATTTAAATAATTCAACAAACGACGATTGGGCTGACGGACAAAGGCCGTCGTGGGCATGACATGGCATCTTCAAGAACTTACGCACGCGCACAAAAGCGATAGATAGATACTAATACGGCGTCCGTCTCGAAGACAGACAGACTACGCCGGACAGATGACGAATAAATGAATAATATATACTAGCCGTGGCTATAGGAAGCGGGCCTTCCTTCGGGGTCCGAAGACACATGCATGAGCCGCAAATCAAACCACGAGCTCGAGCTCGAGCTCTCCGGGCGACCCAGCAGCCAGTGCGGCACGCATGCTCTCCAGCACGATGCCAAAGGGCGTGTAGAGACAGGCGCCCGAGAGATCCGCGCCCGGTATGGAGAAGTACACGACCACATCGCCGGGTCGGCAGCTCTTCGTTTCGGTCTCGGTCTCAGTCTGCACGCCAAGATATGCGCGGCCCGGCTTCGGCTTGTTGGTCACCCTACCGAACAGGAAGCCGACCGGGTTACGGTGCGCATCTCGCACCAGGGCGCCCGAGTCGCCGTAGAATGCGAAGCGGTCGGTGCTCCCGTCGGGGACGATGGCGTGTTCCAGCACCTCGGTGGCCATGGTCTGGGTCTGGGTTTGGTCGTCGTCGTGCGTGACGAACTCGCGGACCAGGACCTCGCTCCCGGTCAGATGCCCGAATGTGACGCCCGTGCCGCGGCCGGCTTTCACGACGAGGACCTTGGGATCGGCATCATTGGCGCCGTCGGACTCCAAGTCCCTGAGAGCGATGGCCTCTTCGATAGTGGAGGGTGTCTAAAAATGCCACCACACTAGCAGCAGACTCTGCCAGAGCAGTGAGGCCATGTCTGTCTCCTTCATTCGTTACTGGAAAAATGGAGGATAATGCAGCTGTTTGTCCTTAATATGATTATTGTCTGTGTTACCTCTATCTACTAGGTACATCTACTGTGCGTAATTCAAATAAATATAAAGGGTGTGACATTTGCAGACAAAAGACCACCTTAAGACTCTTGTCTAACGTTATGCTAATCAGCCAATGTTCGAGCCACTGCAAGTCCCACCTGTAGCTTTCATCTCAAACACCAAAATAGTAGTTTGCTAGATCGCAGCGGTAGGCTTCCATCAGCGTTGGGAGTAGCCTTCATCCCCTATGATTGGGACACTGCCCGCGAGATGTGGTTACAGCTAATCTCCTCGTCCCAGGGTTTGCACATATCGTGCCAGATTGCCTTGCGTAATCGCATAGAGCCAGATCAATGCTCTCTATGTGGCATGATGAAGGACATGCTATGTATTTCGTCGTAGAAGTCACGCAGATACACATTGTTCTTCTTCTTTCCATTAGCAAAGTTTCAGCAGCCTCTCCAGATGATCAACTACGCACATTTTACGATACGAATATTCGTCTTTTCAAAAGGGTGAGGTGGCTAGTTCGTCTAATCGTTCGGGCAGATAAGGCACCAAGGAGCCCCAGGCCCAGGACGAGGGGTGGCTTTTTTTTTTTTCGTTGCAGCCACGTGTCACATAGGATATCTGGATATCTGGCGGTCCGGGTCGGACCGTTGACGGGTGAGGCTAGCTGGCAGGCTATCAGCACGGATCACATTATGGTTCGTGCTTGCGCTCCAAAAACCTTGCTCGGACTTGCATCACGTCGTCCATACACTTGCATGATACACACACAATTAACCGTCATATTGCGACCTTATTACGTGAAGCAGATACGGGAGGGTTAGGGTTAATGCTTTTGTGGTCGAAACCGAAATGGGTGAGAGCGCTCTCATATTATGTACTTCTTTCCCTTTTGGGAATGACTGGCTTGAGTGACTTGACCACCTAAGCACCTGCCTCCCTATGTACCTACATATGTACACAAGGTGCAGTACAGCCTACTTCCTGGAAGTCCCCGGTCTCACTTCCCCACCAAGACAAGACCCCCACGTCAACATCAACCCCACTAACTCAACGTCAGTCCATTCAACCCCCACACCCCCCTCTCGCTGCAGCATTTGGTGATCAGTGGTCCTGGTGTCAAAAAAAAAAAAATTTGTCAGTGTCCTGACTGTTGACTCAATATCGCCGAAGTCAATTATCTTACCTAGCGGGTTGAGAGAAGGTGTGCGTGCGTACTGGGCGTTGGCTAAGCCGTGCCGTTGGCAGCGTTGCTGCCGCCGCGTGTGGCGAGGTGATAGATGATGAAAACGAACAAGAAGGCGAAGAAGATGACGAAAGCGAGCGAGAAGCAGGTGAGTATGGCGGCATCACGATGAGAACATGTCATACACCAGAGGTGACAGCTCTCATCGACCGCCGCTGTACGGGCAGTGGGGTTATGCTCATAGTGGGTGTGGTTGCACAAGTGAGTGTATCCGGCAGGTTGCTCTCCTCCGCCGTGGGGGCAGGGAGCGACGAAAAGCGCATGGGCATGGGCATGGGC